GGGCTGGGTTGGGAGCACTGGTTCCCCAAGGCTGTCAGCCCCAGCTCTGTGCTGGGGCTAGGACCCGTGGCAGACACGTTGGTGACCCAACTGACTAATGGCCAAGCCAGGGTCCCTAGGCTTTCCCCTTCCCACCCACTGCTCCCCACCCAGCTCTTCCCTGCATGGCTGGCTGTTGACTCACGGGCCCTGGTGGGGGCCTGCCCGGCCGGGCGCCTCCACCCACAGGGCAGGGACCAGGTGGGGCTGGGGAGAGCAGCAGGCTCCTTCCCCTGCACAGCCCGGGCTCCCTGCTCGCAGCGCGCTTGTGTGCATTCGTGTGTCTGTTGTGTCTTCGTGTTCCTTTTCCATGTGCTGCTGCTGCTCTCTCTCATCCTCACGTCCCTGCCCTCCTCTGCAGCCCCCAATTTCCCGGCTCCCGGCACCCATCTTCCAGCCAGGAGCTGGAGAAGCCGCTCAGCGGGGCCAGACCTCTTCCCCACCCACCCTCCAAAGGTGCTGGCCCTGCCCTGCCCTCTGTCCTCCCTTCTGTACAAGCAGATGGCCTGGCAGCCTGGCAGGCAGGGGGAGTTCTAAAAGAATGGGGGAGGCGGGCTTGTCCATGGACGGCCTCGTGTCTCTTCTCCCCCACCCCATCTCCAGGCACCCGCCCCCAAGCTTGCTCACGTTTCCAGCTCTCAGCCCTTTGAGCCTCCTGAGAGAGGCTTCCTTCTGACCCCCACACACACCACGCCCCCCCCCAGCCCAGCCCCTTCCCCTCAAGAGCACTGAGGCCCTAGGGCCCCTGGGTACTGGTGTCGAAGAAGACCCATCCACGGCGTGAGGCCCTGGCCATGGGCTGGCGGGGAAGCGGCCTCGTGCCATGGCTGTGTGCTGTGTGCTCCAGGCGCGCCTGCATACCCGCACCCCCCTCCTCCCCGGGACCAGAGGCTCCGCCTCCCCAGCACACATCTCTGGGAGCGTGGGGAGGGACAGGCCCTGCTGCAAAGGGACAGTCTGGCTGCCGGTGTGAGGTGCTGCAGGGCCGTGGTGGCCTGCCAGGTGACGGGCAAGTGGCCTAGGGTTCCGCTCACCGACCAGTGGCCCCTCACCAGACCCACCCTCACCTGGGTCTGCGGCGGTGGAAGGAGCGAGAGGTCCCAGCACTAAACTCTCCCTCGCTCTGTTTTTTGAGGAACCTGAATGAACCTGAAAGCAAAGACCGAGTGGAGACGCTCAGGTGAGAGGGCTGGAGCCAGCACCAGCCCCGCCCAGGCCACTGGGCTTGCCACGAGCCTCCCGCACCTCTCCTCCTTCTCTGCCCCCCGACTCTTCTCTGGTGGCTCTGCCCTGTCCCCACCGTCTCGGGGCCTCCCTTTCCTCAGAGAAGCCCCATGCCCCAGCTGCAGTAGGTGTGGGCCCTTCTCCTCAGCTCTGGTGCCTTTGGAAGCAGGAGCCCTAGGCTGGGCGGTTGGGGCTACAGATTCCTACCCATTGACCAGCTCTCCTTTCCGTACCTCAGCCGCTGCTTTCTGTCCCGTCTGTGAACCGCTCAGGGCTGTTGAGCACGTGCTCTCCTTTCCTCCCTGACCCTCCGCTCATCAGAGAAAAGCATGGAACTGTCGCCCTCCCCTCCCCTCCCCTGCCAGGGCCTGGCTTCTCCTCCCCTTCTCTGCCTTCGCTGAGAGACGGAGGTCACAAAACTGCCCACCCCTCTCGCCCTCCCTCTGCTTCCCCCCCCCCCACCAGGTCTGATGCTCCCTCCCCCGCCACTGTCGCCTCCGGGCCACTCTCCCGCTCTCCTCTCTGGTCTCCGTGGGGGGGGCCGGCTGCCAGGGTGGCTCTCCCGTGGGTGGGGTGCCCCGGGCCACGCCCTGACCCCCTGCCTCTGGCCTCTCTGCAGACCTCACGTGGTGGGCGGCGGAGGCAATGACAAGGACAAGGAGGAGTTCCGGGAGGCCAAGCCGCGCTCTCTGCGCTTCACGTGGAGTATGAAGACCACCAGCTCCATGGAGCCCAACGAGATGATGCGGGAGATCCGCAAGGTGCTGGACGCGAACAGCTGCCAGAGCGAGCTGCACGAGAAGTACATGCTGCTGTGCATGCACGGGGCGCCGGGCCACGAGAACTTCGTGCAGTGGGAGATGGAGGTGTGCAAACTGCCGCGGCTTTCGCTCAACGGGGTCCGATTCAAGCGGATATCAGGCACCTCCATGGCCTTCAAAAACATTGCCTCCAAAATAGCCAACGAGCTCAAGCTTTAACGGGCTGCCGGGAGCGGGGGGCGCTGGAGGCGGGCCGGCCAGACGGAGCTACTGGGGCCCGGCTCCCACCCACCCGGGCCAGACTGCGGACACGGATTGCCGCGTCTCCCCCTGCTGGCACTTCTCCCCTCCCGCCCTTCTTGGTTTTTTTCTTCCATGTTTGGGGGGGCAGGAGACGGTCCTTTCCCCCCAACATTGACCCCTGCCCGGAAAGTCCCCCTTCCCCCCTCTACCCCACAGGAGGCAAAGGAAGGGGAGGGAGGGGTGGGGGGGCAGGGCTCCCCCTCGGTACTGCGGTTGCACAGAGTATTTCGCCTAAACCAAGAAATTTTTTATTACCAAAAAGAAAAAAGAAAAAAAAAAATCCCAGCGGCCACCTTTCCTCCCTGCCCCATTGGGACAGTCGAGACTGGATCTGTGGGGTTTCCCGGGAGGGCGGCTCAGGGCTGGGACACTCAGGCAAGAGTGGTGGAGTTCCCTGTCAGGCCCTCCGCCAGGCCCACTTTGGGCTTCTCCCCTCTCCTTCCCCCCTTCCCCTCCAAGCAAACCACCAGAGGTGGCCTTCCCCTGACCTCAGGCCCCAGGGCTGGAGGCCTGGATGGCCAGGCCAGGGGCCAGGGGCGGGGCGCTGCGCAGCCCTGAGGTGGGGGGGGTCGGGGGGGGTGCTGGCGGCTGCCCTGGGCTGGCAGGCGAGGCTCGGGGCTCCGGCCCCCCCCCACGCTGTACCCTCCTCCCCTCCTTCCCCAGAGCTGGGCATTTCCTTCCACAAGCTGCTGTGGGGACTTTTGTTCCCCTCCTCAAAAGTCTGTGCCATCTTCTCCCACCCCTCCTGGGCAGAAGGCGGGGGGCTGACAAACCCCCCCCCCCTGCTGGGAGAGGGGAGGGGACTGCAGGGCAGATAGGCTCCTCGGCCCCCAGGGGGCCGCCTGGGCTGCTAGTCTCCGGAACAGGGATGCTGGGCACTCCGTTATGGGAGAGCCTTTGTCTGAAAGCACAGCCCCTCGCCATTCCTCTCCCCTGCCCCCTTCATTGGCATTAATCTGGGCACCAGCTAGTTCCCTAGCAGTGACTCCCCTCACCACTCATCTCCCGGCCTTGCCTTTTCTTCCTGACACTGTCGCCCCTCCTCTCAGGAGACACTGCCCAGGGCCTCCACGGCCGCCTGGTGGGAGGCTGGATAGGGCAGCGGGGTGGGGGCCGGGAGCCTCTGCCCTCCCCCGGGGGTGGGGGGACAGATCGGCCTAGTGACTCCCAGCTTGCTAACCTCCTCGGCCAGCGTGGGAGTGGCTGGTTATGGGCGCTTGGCTGGTGGCGGCCGCTGCAACCCTTAATTTATTTCTCTGCTGTTTCTTTTCCTGAGAAACTGGGGGAGGGGGGTCCTGCACAGAGGCTGCCCCTGCCCTCACCTGAGTTGTACATTTTTTTGTGATGGGTTTTATTTTTTATTTTATTTTTATTTTATTTTATTTTTTTTTTTTTTTGATTTATGATGACTCCACTCCTATTCATCACCCACCCCCCCCTCCCAGCCCAGGCTCCGTGGCAAGTCAAGCCCTTAGGGTCCCAGGAAGGGGCATAGCCAACCTCAGCCCTCCTGCCCCAAGCCCCAGCTGCGGGCTCCGGGCTCTGGGCTCTGGGCTCAGGCTCCGACCAAGGGCTCCCCCTCCTTCCGTCCCTCCCTCCCTTTCTCTCCTCCTCCCTCCCTACCCCTCCTGCCCAGTGGAACAGCCCGGGTGCTCTGAGGGGCCGGGAGGGCATGGCTTGGCTCCCAGAGGGGGTGGTGGCCCATGGAGGGGCTCCCAGGCAAGGTGGCCCCTCCCCACCCACCCTCCCACACCCGCACTTAGTTTCTCCTCTGGATCAAACACGTAATAAAGAGAATGTTTGGAATCTGAGCTGCCTCCTCCTGTTTCTTCTCCCAGCCGGGCAGGGACCCAGTCCCCCTGGGCAAGATGTGGCTCAGCCCGCCAGCCTTGCAGGAGAGAATGGATTCCTGTCTGGGGCCTGGGGGAGGCCAGTGCTGGGTGGCTGCTCCCTCCCATCCTCAGGGCACAGACAGGAAGCAAAGCCCAGGGCCCTCCACACACAAGGAAGAGAGAGCACTCGTGAACGTGGAAGATTTTATTTATTTTTTAAAAACATTGAAAAATAAACCCATGTCTGCATATGTTCCCAGCCCTCCTTTCTCTAAGCTTTCAGGCCGTGGGTCCAGTGGGCACCCTCAGAGCTCAGCACTTCGCTGCAGACTCCAGAAGACAGGAGAGCTGCCCATCCAGTTCTGCCACACTCAGGCCCCAAAGGAACCTCTCTGCCCACCTCCCCCCTCCAGCCCCCTCCCCACCTCACCCGGACTTTATTGCTAAAAGAAAGTAAAGAGGAAGAACAGCCAAGGCTGTCCTCTTCCCCCATCCCCCAAGCTAAGATCACTACCCCCTCTACACAAAGGGCCAGACCCAAAGGCCAAGCCCCAGCAGACTAGGAGGCAGCCATTCCAGCCCCAGCCAGGAAGAGCAAGGACCCTCAGGCCAGCTCAGAAGGCCCCTGAGCCCCAGCCCCTGGCTGGGGTGGGCACCGAGAGACTTCACTGCCAGAATCCTGCAGAGCCCACAGGTCCAGACTGTGCCCACTGGCAGCTCTGGGACTTCGAAAGACCTGCCCAAGAGCTCGAGTCCCTTCCGTCCTCAGTGAAGCCAGAGGTGTCCAAGGATGGCCAGCAACAGGGTTCTGGAGCCTCTGGTGGGTAGAGGGCCTCAGGGCTCAGAGTGAGGGTGCTGGAGGCTCCAGGGGGGCTCCAATCAGGGTGGGTGGGGGCTGAGGACCGGGCCGGGCACCGTGGCGGGAGGCAGCCAGAGCAGGGCGGATGAGAGGTGGTGGGGGCTGGTTGGGGGCCAGGCGGGGCTGGAGGAACCGGCCCTGCTGGAGTGGGGGCGGCTGGCGGAGCAGGGTGGGCGCCGTGGGCAGAGGCGGCCTCAGCAGCGGCGGTGGCTGGGACAGCGAGGCGGGAGGCGGCGGTGGAGGCGGCACGGTGGGCAGCGATCGGGGCACAGACGTTGAGACGGAGGTGATCTGCACCTGAGAGGTGAGAGAAGGGAGACCAGGCTCCAGCACAGCCTCGCCCCCACCTAAGACCACAGCCGGCTCCAACCCTCGCTCCTCTCAGCCCCTCACCTCATCGTCTTCCTCGAGGGCTGGGGCCGGCAAGGGGGCCCCTCTCCTAGCCTCCTCCATTGGGACTGGGGCTCCGGGGGCCCCATCCTGCTCGGCCTCCCATTCCTGGAGCACCTCCTCCAGGTTGAAGCGGCGCCGATAGCTCACGAAGAAGGTCTTCACCTGGGTCAGGGTCTTATTTCCAATGACCTCTGCAATAGCCCCGAAGTCTTTGCCGTACCTCCGGATGGCTACAAGGGTCAAGAGGGCAGCCAAGGGTGAACACCCCGTTAGGAATATTTCCTTCCCTGAACCTTCCCTTCCCTTCTGCCCCAGCTCCTTGGAGGGTGGGGAAAGATTCCTGGGGCTCTCCATAAGCCCCCCCCGCAGTCTAACCCACCTTGTACGGCCAAAAGCTGCTCATCGGTGGTCCAGCGAGAGTTGAACTTGGTGTTGGCCTGGAGAGCGGAAGATTTATCCTTTGGACTCAAAACTATGCAAACAAAGGGCCCCGCCCCCCAGAGCACCCCTTTCAGCTCCCCTGGGCAGCAAGGGAGTAGCCCCTGCTGCACCCAGGCCTGAAGCCCCCTCACCTCCGGGGGGCGCAGTGGATCGATGCCCCCCTCCAGCGCTTGGCGGAGGCTGCTGTTGGTCTGCTTCATGCTTTGTACCTGAGAAGGCCGAGCAATGACCCATCAAGCTCTCCTGCCAGAGAGGCCACCAAGACCAACTCTGGCCACGGCTGGACTGCGCCAACATGGCTCATGGCCACCCACCCACCACCCAGCTCACCCCTCCCACCCCATGCAGTTTGTTCCCCTCTTACGGACCAAAGGGCTTTCTTCAAAAGGCCCAGAAAAGAAGACCCAGTTACCCCAAAGCCTACAGGATGGGGCAGAGGCAGTCAGGGCATCTGGACTTCTCCCTCTTATACCCCAGCTGTCCCAAAAATTGTAGCTCCCTGGGCTGCCCGCCACCCCCTCCACACAGCCCCTTCCTCTCTTAGGCCCCCACCTGGCGCTTGAGGGAGATGAGCTGTGAGTCAAGGCCTCTAAGAGTGAGGTTGGCGAGGTCTGGGCTTCCTGACACAGCCGTGAGGCCCTCAGGGCTCAGGTACATGCCCTTGGGTGGGCGGCGTCGGGTTCGCAGCGGGTGGTGACGGTACTGAGATCCCTGGGCCTCCTTCTTCCCGGGGCCTGGCCGAGTATTCAGGGGCCGAGAGGGCAGAGGCTGCCAGGGAAAGGAGAGGGGTGGGTGGTGGGGAGCCCAGGGACAGGGCAGGCAGGTAGGCAGGGCCGGACCTCACCTCTCTCTTAGGGTCTCCAGCGTCCGGCTCTCCCTCACTAACGGCTCCCCGGCCCTCTTCAAGCTCATCACTGTTGACACAGGGGCCCGGAAGGGAGTGAGGCAGAGGCCAGGACCACCCCCTCCCCAGAGGTCAGTGTGCGCTCCCCCGGGGCCCCCAAGACCCCCACCTGTCTTCTTTGTCCTTTCGGCCCCCCAGCCGCCGAGCCTGTCTGTCCATCACGCTGGTCCGGCTACGGGTCTTCTTCCACGAGTAGTAATACTTCACCAGGCTGGGGATCAGCTTGTCAGGGAGCTGGAAGGGCAATGCCAGAGGCTGGGGCCCACCCCAGACCCTGCACCGCCCACCCAGGGCAGGCTCATCAGAACCAGAAGGGCTAAGGAACACTTGGCTGGGGCGAAGGGGCTTTACCATCTGTTGGATCCGCTGGAAGCATTTGCCATGGAAGCCAAAGGCCTGTTCAAACAGCACCTTGTCCTCCACGGTCCACTCGTCAGGGAACGGGGTGAAGTTGGCCAAGTCGGCCAGCGACTTCTCCACATCGTGCTTATGCCACAAGAGCATGCCCAGTGCCTGGCCCAGGAGAGGGAACAACTCAGCTCAGCTGCCCCCAGCACTGTCCCATCCCCACCCCCGATACCTACAGGGCCAGGGCTCACCTGCTCAATGTTGTAGCCATGCTTCTCCTTGGCCATCGCAATGTACTTGTCAACTGCAGGGATGGGAGGGGCCCGGTATTGGAGAAGGGGTTACCACTCCCGACCCAAGCCTGCTTGCCCAGATGGAGGGAGGCCCCCAGGGGCTAGGCCCCCGAGCCTGAGCCCCAGGGCAGGGGCTGAACCCACATACCTAAGCCTCCAGCCCAGTCATTGACTGGCATGAACCCAAACCCCCAGCTCCCAAGGATGTGACCGAACCGGGATCCTGCCCACTCACGCTTGGCATCTGACACACAGTGGTTGGGCGACCACACCAACATCCCCTTCAGCTCCTTGTTACTGTAGCGGGCTGGGCTCTCTGAAACACAAGACCAGAAAGGGGAAGACCTTCGGCTCAGCCTAGCAGCGCTGGTCTAGACCTGTGGCCAGAGGGTGGCAGAGACGTGGGGCCTGTGAGGTGAGGCCCAGAAGGGAAGAAGGGGCAGAGACCCAGACAGGAAGGCAGAGCAGGAAAGCTAAGCCCATGCCACGGGCTACCAACCCCCGCCCGCCTGCCTGCCTGCCTGCCTTCCCAGTGGGCACCAGCCAAGGGCTCCCCCAGGTGGGGCTCAGGGCCAAGCCATGGGCCCTCTGCTCCCCTCCCTTCGCAGCCTGTCCTGCCACTCACCAGGCTTGCACTCCGGAATTACGGCCTGGTAATTGGTTCCAACGCGGATCATGCTGTCTGTGGAGCCAGGGGGAGGCACTCAGGACTCCAGGGAGGGAGGCGGGGAGGACAGGAGGATGTGGTGGGGAGGGGTGGGGGGCGCTGGCCGGGGGCTCTCCTTCCTGACCACCCAGGGCCCTCACCTTCTAGAAGGCTCACTTTTCCCTGATCTTTCCCCTCAGTTACCCTCAGCCACAGAAGAAACTGGAAGATGAGAGACCCTGCCTAGTCATAGCCCATAGTGGAGGGGGTGGGGGGGCGGGGTGGTGGCGGGGACAAGGGGCCAGTTTAGAGCCCAGGCCAAGCAGAGCCCTTTGTTCTGGCGGGGGGTGGAGAGGTGGGGAGGGGGGTCTGCTGCCCCTAGACCTGGACCATAGCCCTGCAGGGAAGCCAAGGCTCCTCCTCACATGAGCCTCACAGCTCGGTGTGGAAGTGTCCTTCCAGCCCCTGCCCCAGCCAGACCTCAGTCCCCCGTAAGGTGGCAAGGTATGAGCGGCCCAAACTGCGCCAAGGAGGCCCGCCTGAGTCCTTTAGAGACTGAGGGCAGGGCAGGGCGGGCAGGGCGGGCAGGGCGGGCGTGGGCAGGGCCGCCTCCTCGGCAGCTAGGGGCCCAGCCTCCAGACTCCCCGTGCCGGCAGACCCCGGGCTTGGGGAAGAAGCCAGCTAGAGGCTCCAGTCCTAGGAGGCAGGAGCCACGAGTCGCAAACGCCCGTGGTCGGCAACTCTCCCCCCGCCCCACTCGCGTCCCCGGTGCCGGTGCACCTTTAACCCTAGGCCGCCGGGCTCACCGTGCGAGTGCTCCTCCTCGCTGCTGTCATCCTCCGAGTGGGGCTGTCCGCCGTTGGGCGCCGTCTTGGCCCGGCTGCGGGACAGGATCCCGGAGCCCGCGCTCGGCTTCTCCATCACCGAGGGCATTACCCCGCCCAGCTGCCCCGGGGGGCGCGGGAGCCTTCGGAGAGCCGCGGTGGTTGCCGCGCTCGCCTCGAGTGCCGTGCCCGGCCCGGCCTGGAGAGGTCGCCACTGAGGCTACGAGAGGCAGGAGGTCAGCGTGGCCGGGGTCCGGCGGGGCGGGAGCCCTGCGGACAGCTCCGCGCTCTCCGCGACCCCCACGGGCGAGGGCGTCAGAAAAGTTTGTGCAGAAGTGGGGTACGCGGGGGATGAGCGCAAGGTTCGGTGCGGCTGGGGCGCGCTCGCTCTGGACGCTCCACGGGATTGGGGCTCCCCCGGAGAAGTCGGGGCACCCTGCCTTCGGGGCGCCCCGGGGCCCCAACGCCCTCACGCCCACGCAGTTGAGCGGGCGGGCGCTGTGGCGCAAGTGGCGCCCCCCGCGGGCTGCACGCCTCTCGGCTGCACCGAGATGCCCCCGTCCCCGGGCGGGGACCCCTGTCCCGACCAGACCCCTGCCTGCGACGGCAGGCGGCGGGGTCCCGGCGGTGGCGGCGGCGGCGGGACGGCGCGCACGGCGCGCCGCGCTGGGCAGACTTGCCGGGAGGCGGGCGGAGCGCAGCCGCGGACGCCACCTCGCACCCTCCCCGGCGCGCTCGCTCTCCCCGCCGCGCTCGGGCTGCTGCTCGCCCGCCCGCTCTCCGCCGCCGCTCGCTCCTCGCGCACACAATGAAGCTGCTGGCAGGGAAGTAGTGCCGGCTGCGGCCTCAGCACCCCTCCCCCAGCCGATGCCTCCGCCAGCTGAACATCTGGCCCTGGGGTGGGAGGGAGGGCCCGGGGGGCGGGGCCTGGGGGCCGGGGCTAGACCTCCAGTGGGTGGGGTCAGGGCCGGGGTGGAGAGCGCTTCCCTCCGCGGGGCCCCGGGGCTCCCGGACTTGCCCCTGGGGGGAGACCCCGGCTGCCCCCCAGGAGTAGCCGGGGGTCAGCTCCACCCACGCGCACGCCAGCCCCGCACACCAGTGGGCTCGGGTTACTGCCGCCTGCCCCCGGGGCCCTGAGGCCGCCTGCCCGCCCGCCCGGGTGGAGCCCAGCTTTTCCTTCCATTTCCCTTCCTGCCAAGGAACTCCCCGCCCCCCCTTCCGCAAGAGGGGACCCCCCTCCCTCTTGCGCCCTTGGGGGCCAGAGCGGATGGGAGGCCGGACAGGCGAGGAATGAATTCCTCCAAGAGCTACTGGGCCCAAGCCTAGCTTCTGGTGCATCTGTGGGTTCCCAGGGGTCACCTCAGTTCCCTTTAACTGCTGCAGAATGCACCCCAAAACAGTGGCATAAGGGGCCGAGGACTGGGGAGTGGGAGGTGTAGGGGAAGGTCTGGACCGCAGGGAGTGGGAGGAGCCGGGTCTCCTCCCCACTGGGTTCACTGTCACCCCAGCTGGGAGCAGCATCCCCCTCCCCCAGGACCAGCGCGGGCAGAGTGACAGACCGGGAAGCGGGTAGAGCGGCACAGACGGAGATGGGGGAGGGGGTGGGCAGAGACTTTCAAAGCCAGACCCAGCCACCCTGCCAGGCACACAAAGAGCCAGCGCACACACCGGCGGCGGCTCGGAGCCTGCGAGCTGCGCCCGTGCCCGTCCCTGCCGCCCAGGGCACGTGCTGCAGCTCACACAGGCCGAAGCCCCCGCCTGCCGCCCCTCCCACCCGGAGCCCTAGATTCCTAGACACACCTCCACCGGGCACACCCCGCTGTGCCCAGACCGAGCCGATCCTGCGCTAGCACCCTCCTCTCCCTTCCCTTTCTCGGCCACTCTGTAATCAGATTCCTAAATTTAGAAGCAACCCGGGGCCCAGCCAGGGATCCCCGCCCCCACCCGCTGCATGCGGCCAGCCGGCCGGGGTCCTGCGGTCGGGCCACGACCCGGCCGGGGCCGCCTGGTCCTGGGGGCTCCTAGGAGGCGTCCAGGCAAGTCAGGCACCACCCCACCCGGCTGCGGCGCTGTCGGGCCACATGGGGCCACCCAGCCCGCGGCCACGTAGCCCGCCACACCTCGGTCCAGACCTAGGGAGTCTTTTTCCTCCTCTTAAATCATGGATTGGGCACCAAGCCCCAGGGTGGGGAAGGAGGTCTGGACAAAGGAGGAGAATAAATGGGCCAAGGGCAGGTCTGACCTCAGGGGGTCTGCTCCAAGATGAAAAGAGGCTCCCAGCCTGACCCCTCCTGAGTGGCAAGGTGCCACCTCCTGGTGCCCTGCACCTCCAACCCCCTCCTGGCTGGCCAGCAGCCCTTCCTGTGGCAGCCCTCTTCCATATGATGGAGTCTTCCGTCTTGCCCACCCCGGGGCCTCCAGTTAGGCAGGGCCTCAGTTGGACCCCTGTCCCCCCACCTTTGCCTTCCTTCTGGGCTAATAACTAGCTGGGGTACAGGGCCCAGACCTCACCCCCAGGCCTCAGCATCATACTTATTTTGGCCTCCTTCCTCCTCTAGGGCTACCCCAGGTACCCCCAGTCACTGGCATCCCCCCATCTCAAGTCCCCCTCTCCCCCCACCCTCCCCTCCACCCTGGCCCCCCTTAAAAATCTCTTTCTGCTCCCACTTCTCCCTAGAGCCTGGAGCTCAGGGCCCCAGAAAGATTCTGCTCTGGAGGTTAGGGGCAAGGAGGGGAGGCTTATTCCTTGGAGTTGTTGGGGGTGGGGGTAGTCCCTAGGCCCTGGTGCAATGAAGCTTCTGCCCAGGAGGTGGGACAGGACAAGGGAGAGGTATCCGAGGAGTTTGGGGGCAACTGTGGGGGCCAAGGCGTCCAGAGAGGAGGCTTATTCCTAATGAAGAGCCCCCTCCCAGGGGCAATGGCAGGGAGTTAAGAGGGGGAGGGGCAAGGCCCCACCCTCCCACCTGCTGCCTCTGCCCCCTCCCCAGCTGGCCCCCTCTTTTGTGCAAAGCCACACAAAGGACAAGGGGCCCCGGCCGGCCTGGCCATCTGCTCCCAGCAGCCTGAAGGCTCTTAAAGAGACAGCACCCCCTCCCTGCCGCCCGGGGGGCTGTGGGGCGAGGGGCAGGGGAAGCCGCTCCTCCATAAGACCTGATCTCAGTGGAACCCCAAATCCCACCCACTTTTTCCTGGCTCCCCCAGCATCCAGGTCAGGAATCATCTTCCCCCAGCCCAGGCCCAGGGCGCAGAGGTGCCACGTGGCCAGGAACATGGGGGTGTGGGAGGGAAGAGACGGAGAGGCAGCCCAGGGACCAGCCCCTCCCCTCCTCCAGCCTTAGGTGGCGGAGGGGCCAGCAAAGCTCGGTAGCACGGTCCTGGAACTGGGGTCCCTCACCTCCCTGAGGCCACCTCTGAGCTTTGTGAGAGCCGCTGGTCTCTGGGAATCACCTCCCCGCCATCTTCACTGGTGAGCTCCCACTCACCCTTCTTCGGGGAGGATGACAGTGCCTTCTTTTTGAAGGCTGTAGGCCAGGACGCAGCCCATCGCCTTGCAGCAAACCCGCGATCCGGGCACCTTTATTTCCTACATTTCCCGGTGGAGGAAACTGAGGCTTTGCTCAGCCCCGGGCGGGGTGGGGGGGGCACACCCACCGCACCCCACGGGCCTCCAAAAAGCCACCCACCCTGTCTGAGGCCTGCCTTCCTCTCCTAGGCCAGATAAGACCCCTCACCCCTGAGATCCCCAGGGAAGCCAGACCGAACCCCAGCTTGGGGCTTCTGCTGCACTGCTAAGGGACATGATTTACATTATTTGTGTGATTGTTTATTTCCTGTCTGTCTCCCTGCTGGGCTGTGGGCAGGGATTGTGTCCACTGTGTTCCCTGTGTCCTCAGCGCCTCGCATACAGTAGGCACTCAATATTTGCAGAAGGAATAAGTGCCAGGAGCCCCCCCCCCACACAAGCGTCCTCTTCCCTGGGTTCCTCTGTCCTCTGCCCGTGGGGCATCTTGCCTCCTCTCTCGGCAAGGTGAGACAGGAGGGACAAATGTTGAACAGGGATGCTGGGAGAGAAAAGCAGGGTGACCTTGAGAGAGCTACCGGGCCTCCCCTCGCGTCTCCCTCCTCCCAAAGGCGGGGGCAGCTCCAGCCAATCCTGAACCCGCAGCCCTGCCAGACAGACTGGGACTGTCCCGAGCTCTGGCCCAGCAAGGCTGGCCGCTGTGGTGTGGTGCCTGGGACCCCGGCCAGGCCCTCGGTAGCCACAGCCAAGGGGCTAAGCTCGGGGAAGGAGGAAGGCAGGCGGGGCGGGCCCTGGGGTGGGGGAGGGAGGTTGGCCGAATCTAAGGTGAAACCTGGCTGGGCCGCTGGGGGGACCTGGGGGGAGGTGCCTCCCTGGACTGGAGGCCTGGGGCGGGGAGATGGAGTTGGGGAAATGAAAGGACGGCCTCCTGCATGGAAGCAGCGGGGGGGGGGGGGGGGGGGGTCGCCCCCCGGGGGGGGGGGGCCCCCGCGAGGGGAGGCGGCGGGGGGGGGGGGGGCGGGGGGGGGGGGGGGGGGGGGGGGGGGGGCTCCCCCCAGGGGGTGGTCTCCCCCCAGGACGCCCACCCCTCAATTCTGCCCAGATAGGAATCCCATTCCTCCGGCTCCCCAAACCCCCTGGGGCCCAGGGCGCTGTCCCCCCCCTGTCTGGGTCCAGCTCAGGGTCCCCCGCACTAGCCCACACTCCCACCCAGGGCTGTGAAGAGCTGAGAGAAGGTGACAGAGGTGACGATCCGGTGCTTGGCACTGCTTCTGCGCTTTGGCCACGAGAGGGAGGTGAGGCCCTCGAAGCATCTGGAGTGGTGCTGGGGGAGGGCAGAGCAGGAGACAGGAGGTCAGCAAGGAGACCCCAGGCTTCCTGACACCCACGCTGAGGAAATCTGACTCCCTGGGCAAAGCAGGAACTGGGGAGGAAGGGTCAGCAAGACCTTCATTCCGAGAGACACAGAAGAAGACACAGAAGGCGACAGGAGTTCCCTGGACCCTGTGGGCGGGGGGGCGCTTCCAGACCCAGGAGCCAGCTCCGTTTCTCTGGAAGCCAGGAAGGGGGCCTCCCCTTGCCCTCACCTGGATGACAGCCGGCGCCCTCTGGCGGTGACAGCGCGGACCGAGGGGTCCTGCCTTAGCCTGGCCACAAATGTCCTCCCAGGGAG